TACACAGTTACAATGTATTCAATAGCTTACATTAGACTCTGTATCTTGAGTACCTTCCTCTTTCTTTACTTCTTTCACAGGTTCTTGGGTTGGTTTATCTGAATCTGTTGCCCCACCAACCATATTCATAACATAGTTTTTCAGAGCAACATGATCTCTACCACCTTGGTACTTGTCAACCTAATATTCCATATTACAATAAGAAGTTAGCTTACCAAAGAATTCATCACAAAAGCAGAATTTGAAAACAAGTTTATAATATTTATTAAAGCCTTGTAAAACAACTTGTTCATAAATTTTCAATTATGTTGTGTGGCCATTAATTTGGATAATGAGTAAATTGAAAAAAAAATTAATTCTACCTTTTCACCATTCTTGAAAAACAAGAGAGTTGGATAACCTCGCACTTCAAACTGATCGCATACCTCTTTATCTGTAGTACAATCCACCTAAAACATAATTAATGCTTAAGTTATGGAAAGGGTATGTTTTCAGATGCTTGTATGACATTTAATTCTATACTCAGCAACACAGGAGCTTCTCTTGGACAGACTAATAAATATTATTTTTTGCTAAATAATCTATCGTTATTGTTATTTTGTTTTAGGAAATGAAAATCAATGGAGAACATTCTCAACACGACAAAGCATGCGAAACTGATAATTTTTAATGACAATCTGTTTAGGACTACCACCAACTGTGAGTACATGGCGTTATAAAAGTGCTCGGAGTGAGCAAGACTTTGCCTAATTCTCTCCAACAAGGAAACCCCTTCATGGAACCACTATAAACACATGAGGCAATGAGGATCCTATACCCTTAATAAACAACAATACACTACCTTAGCAATTGTGACATCATCATTGTGTTGAAAACCTGTAGCTAGGTCATTCCATACAGGGGCCAACTTCTTGCAGTGACCACACCATGGTGCATAGAATTTGATAAAGTGATTTCCCTTCAATATATGGTCCTTAAAGGTAGCCTTGGTTAGCTCATACAGTTTATGTTTTGGCTCTGGTGGTTTGGGTGCCTCAGGTTCCTGAAAAATTGCAGACAACAATAATATAAGGAAGAATATGGTATATTATTTGATAAAAAATGCTTGTTAGTCAAAGGAGTAAAAAATGCTAGTTCAAATTTTCAACATTGTATCGTTTCCGTACAAGTAATAAAATTCTGCATCTTCATTGTATCTTAAACTGGGAAGTCACTGCATCTTGGACAAATCCAACTCAGCTCTCTACTGCTAGATGACGCGATGCCATCTGCTGACTGCCAGTGGCAGTCTGAAAGGACTGTCATTAAAAATGATTGATGCATTGCGCATGTTTCGTCACATCTTTTTTATAGCATCGCGTCAGCTGACGACAGTCAGACGCAGTGAGGGCCCGGCTTTACTATAATCATACCTTCAGCTGTTCGCTGATGAAACTTTCAAGGGCATCCAAATCGCGTTTGCCTTTAAACAATACAGGTTCTTCCCTGTCATCATTAGGATTGAAAAACTTTATTGTTGGATAACCTTTAACACCATTCTCAGCACATAATTGTGTTTCAACAGTACAATCAACCTAAAAAGAAGAAAAGAGGAAAGAAATATAAAAATTTTTATTTAGAATTAGAAACGTTTGCATGAAGG